TATTACAAACCTTATAATAATCAATATCTATAATATTCGTCATAAATTATACATTTTCCAACGGTTTCGTCCCGGAATTATTTCATATCAATTCGGATTTAGTGGACAGGTGTGGCGGACAATACCACTTCAGTTTAGGATCTTTAGACTCCAACCCAATATTTTGGGTCATTTACTCTAATTACTTGTATAGTGACGTCATAAAGTACTTAAATTCCGTTAAATATTGGTTTTCGTATTCTTGTACGATAATTAATTCAAATTGGAATTTTTCTTTGGCTGCATTCCATAAACAATCTAAAATTTAGGTCTGATGTACACAATGTCACGATAATGTTTTTTGGAAGTATTTGCTGATGGTTTAAAAACCACGTTTAATATAAAATATCCTGAATTTAATTAAATTGGCGGATATTAAGAAAAATATAAAGTAAAATTTTGTCCAATTCGAGATTATTTCAATCATAACCTATGATATATATTGCGAATTGGGATTTTTTCGTTCACAAATTTTGATCGAAGTGTCAATTTATAAACAACCGAGTGAATGCTCGAAGTAATAGATTTGACTTCGCTATGACACGATCTTCATAAACACCGAAATTTCAGAACGACTTGCATATTTTTTAACAGTATGACGTATTGTCTTGCCAGAGTTAGTTTTAGTTTTAATTTATAATAATGTACAAGCAAAACAACAAAAAAATATTATAATCAATTCAGACTAATTTGTTAAATGATTGTGTTCGTCTGCATGATAGTCATTAGCCTAATGTTGCTTCCAAAGTTAGATCGATGCTAATGCTTTCTCTATTCATATTTGAGTAGTATTCAGGCCATTATGTACAATAATTATGTACGACGTCCTCTTAGAAAGCTTCGTAGAAATATAGACAAAAATAGGATTGAAATGATTATGAGATGATTGAGATCGAAAAATGTAATTTAATTGAGTGGAACCGAGTTACAAAATTCTGTCAAATACTGCAAAGTTATCGAGTAACGGCAAAATAAGTTTAGAAACTTAAAAATAGGAAAGGCGTTGGAAAAAATATTTGTAAGGATTAGAATTAAAGTTAACAAATCATGTTGGCTACACTTTAGTGGGCTTTTAATGAGAGTTTATGGCAAAATATTGAGGGTTTTTTATTTCAAAATCCACACTTTTACTGAGTGTGATTTAGACACAAATATCACAAATACGACATTTATTAAATTGTATTATAATTACTATTAAAAGTGATGTTAGGTGGTTCTCCTAACTTCTAATATGTTATTACAGAATCAAGCATCTTGAATTGTTCAATACAATCTTATATTTTTCGTGTTATGACGGCATGGCTCGAATATTAAATGCCGGACAGGCATCACGAACTTATTTCCGCTTTTTAGTTGATGTAAATATTCTACGCTAAGGTGAAAATTATAAAATTAGAATCTCTTGTCGATGTTTATACTAGAAGCAGGAAAGCGTAGCGATTTCGCTAAATAGCGAAATGTCATTGGATTTTTTGTAGAAAGACCCCGCCAAAAAACAACACCCCCGCCTCCGCTGTAGTGAGGGTGGACCCAATCTGCAGTTATTAAAAACGTGGGGGTGTTTTTCCTGCAACTCATATTTTTCCATTAGTGGCGGGTTTTCTACAAATGATTCTGATAAACATAGATCCAACAGCGAAAGACTGTTGAAGGCACCAGTTTGTTAGAAACGTGTTACGTGAACAATGCTCAGTGTGTGCTTCTCAATGAAGAATTATGTGGCCGCCCAATGAAGTATTCAGGCCACTGGTAGAGATATATGAATATGGTGTGTCTAAATTTTAGTTAAGCAATCGAGTGCGATTTTGATTTATCAATGAAACCATACATTGTTCACCATGGCTACCTGTCTATAGCTAGATTCTCGTTTCAAACCAATTTCGCTCTTCAGATATGAGGTTTAATTAATTTCATCCGTTCGTGTAATTAGCAATAATTTATCATTCATCGAAGGAAGTCTTGGTTCCGATGCTACTTGAGGTCGTTTGGAATATTTTATAACTACTCGGTAATTGTTGTTTTTTTATTGATTATTATTCGCGGATTTCAAACAAACTGGTATTTTGACACCCATTCAAAAACGTGCACAGACATGGCGCTAGATGGGAAACCCACAAGTAAATTACTATGAAATGCTATTAACTTTGATGCAACTTTCGTGTAGTAATGTATAACATGACTTCCTTGTAAAAATAATTATAATTTTGTATGTATTCCGCTTGTAACTTTGGCAAAGTTAAAACTCTTACTATTTCTAAGCCAAAAATTACATCGCTATTTAATCGTGTTTGTGATAGTAAATTAGAAAATAATGCTAAAAGACTTATAAGTGTGCAAGGTGATGTCTTATCCATATTCCAAACTCGACCGTGTATGGTTTATTTTCTGAATATTTTACTACGATATGCCCAACTGGGAAATCAGTTCGTGAGATCGCCAACGTGACATTTTCTTAAAATATCACAATAAATATTACTTCAACACACGTCCAAGATCAGTTTTAAACCTAAAATTTCCAATTCTATTTTGTGATTTATATATAGTATTTAATCTAATAAGGAAATTATTGTTTGGTATAATTTTGCTATATATTATGACACCCTAATACACATTTGAATATTCAAGTGGAAGTAAATAAGTTGCATATTTTCAGAAATAGATTTAAAATTAGAAATATTGTGAGAATTATCGGGGTTTCTTGCAAATATTTTGTTTTGTAGTTGTATAGTAAAATTATATCTAAATAACTAACGCGGTTAGTGGTGTCGAATATTGTGGATAGTCAGTCAGAGGACACGCTCAAACTGAACTGGGATGTACCGTATATTACAGTGAACAATGTTTTATAGTAACGGCGTTCGTAGAGCACTGCTCAAAATGAAAGAGCGAAAATACGTATAAAGGGTATCTGTTGTTGCCAGTGATTGTCTTATCGATAGATTTAACATAATCTTCAGGTGAACGACGTTTTTCGGAGTTACAAATATCTGGTAACAACCCGTAGTACGTCATTTGGATATTTTACATTACACTTATGATTAAATCGGTTGTTGTTTTGTACTCGTATACTCTTTCTGATAGAGTTCAGTGGCCAATATTTCCGGTTGTCGAACTTAATCAACACTACAAAGTTTATACGAACAAGTGTGAAATTACATTAAATAGACCGTCTTGACCTCATAATATGTTTCCGCTTCCGCCTCAATAAACCAGAATAAAAACTGGTAATACCTTATTCAGCCCTTTTTGACTTAAAAATGTATTAAGATTTTTTTTTAATTTTTAGCAAGTAAATTGCGAAACATTTCGTGTAAATCTATTTCACGCAAATTGTGTCTCATTGTTCTTGATGCGTCAAGTGACGTTTACTTTTGATTATATTCTATGTCGTGATAAATTGATACGCAGTTGACGCTACTTTGTTGAAAGTTTTGCATAAAATTTAACTTTTCGTTTTATTTCGGATATGGAGAATAATCCATATTCAAAAAATAAATAATGACATCACTTTGGTTGTAATATTAAAACGGAAAATGTACAAAACTGTATTTAGCGATATTTTATACAGAATATGGATTAATTAATTACCTAAGCTGTAAATCAAAATTATTTAAAACTTTTTTTCGCGCAGTCGTCAAGCTGCCAATGTGACAACGAGACTAGTTTTTATAGTGTTTGAAAAATCGGGTGAAGGAAAGAATTTGTTGAGTAAAGAAAATTATATTCGGATATTCAACTATTTTATTTTCAGACTAGTCATATATACAAAACAAAATGCAATATGACATAATTTCAGATGGTACTCAGACGTACTCGGTTTGATATTTATTTTATCTAATTTTATGAATCGGAAAGTACGGCAGTCATGAGAGGACGGTCATAGACTCATAGTATAATGACTATTGCAACCTTTCAACCATGTTAAAATAATACTATGTCTATATGTATAACATCGGCCATAGATGACCGAATTTAGAATGGTTCTTCAGTCGTGATTGACGTAATGAAAGGTTTAACAACACTATCTACTGAATTGAGTTAGGGGGTAGTTAAAGTTAAAAATGAGAAATATCCTCTAGTTCCCTTGCTAAATATCGGAAAAGGGAGAAGTACTTAAACCGCCAGACAGATTGCGAATCTTCAAATTTGGGTGATATTGCCCAGAAAAAAATATGAAATTACATTGGAAACCTTGTTCTATTATCTGTACTTTTTAACAGCTTCGTAGCGTAGTAGTAGCGGTGACTATATGACACTGTATGATATCACCCGAGAGAATTTGTAACCTACATTAGATTTCAGCGTTTTTTAAATATCTATCTATAAATTTATTTTCATTTATAAGCTTAACCTATATATCGAAAGGACGCGCGTTGGACTGCGCACAGCAACTGTCGTTTCCTGCGTTACCTCATAGGAATAAGACGTCGCTATCCCAGAGTCGCGTGTATATGTAGCCTATAGAACATACTTAGATGAAGTTTGCCGCAATCGGTAACAGAAGTTCTAACTTTGTTAGTTAAGACAAGTTAATTAATAGTAAGCTGCATTTGTTGACGTTTATAGTTTGAAAAGATTACCCGATTGTGCCCCAATAATATCGTTGGCTTGAAGATTGTGTTTTTTTACATAGAGATATTGTTTATTCGTCTTTTTAAACAGAATTCTGAGCGCCTTCGGTTTTCTTTCTTATCGTAGAAAATATGGTGTTATAAAAATATGTCGTTCATTATACGCAGTTGAAAGTTGAAGTCAGTAGAGTTATTCATATAAATAGTCGAAATAAGGCGCTCAATTCATATTTGTGATTTCAGACAGTCGAAAACATAGTGCAATTGAAGGATTCACGATGTTGTATTTTAGTGTTATTATTTTGCATTGACTGGTGTAGTGCCCTCCGTAAATCATTTCGTAGCTTGCTGGCAGCTTAGTAGTAGTTGTATTCAATTTGTGAAATATTTATTATGCAGGGATATAACTAAAAGAATAATTTGATCATAGAAGATTTCAAAATGTCCCGCAACGTGTCTTCATTCGCTCCAGACAAAGATGAATACAGGACACTAAATAATGATTCTCATCCTGGAGAAAAGCCAACTAAATTTTCTGGCCATGTTTGGGATCAAGAATATTGGACACAATGCGAAGTTGTTTTGTCTATATTAACATTGTTTTCTATATATGCGTTCATATGCATCTTGAGATACACAACTCTGAAAAAATCAAGCCCAACAAGAGATACAAGTGGAAAACAAGGTCGAAGGTTATACATTATGCTTGTTCTTGCATCCGGATTCACAGTACTGCGATTGGTCAGTGATCACGTGGTTGCATTCACGTCTTCATTCGACGACTTGTACTGCTTCACAACGATTGCTGCCAGCACAGTAATGTACGCTCTCGCGTTGTCTTTTGTTTATATATTTTTGTGGATGAGGCAAAGTATATTTTATGCAAATCCTGTCTTGTCTAAAGTATTAAACAAATGGGTGACGTTTTTCAGCTGGTCAACATTGGTTGTGATGCTAGTGTGTGGTGCAATTATGCTCGTTCTTTACAATTTACCAGCCGTGAACGGATGGGTATACCAAGTAACGGAGGAAGGCTGCAAGGGCATTTTAGTCGAAGATGACGAAATTATTGCGGCCGTGGCGACGGCACTCACCGTATATTTCCAGATATCACTCTTGGCACTGTTCCTCTATCCTCTTCTCAGCCGTAAGACCCAAAAGTACCGTTCTGCTGGTTCGCAAAATAATGATGCTACTAAAGGAAACGGATCGGTGAGTAACACCGATGACAACCTTACTGATGGAGATGCTTCATCTTCTGTTCGTAGCGGAAAATTTAAAGTTCCAGCAACAAAAAAGAAGAACATGGATAGTCTACCACTGAGTGAAAACGAAAGTGTAATTGACGGACGGGTCGCTGATAGTGGGAATTTCTCCAAGTCTTCTTCACACGGTGATGTAAGCGCTCCGGAGAGCACGCCGAAAGAAACAACATCCAAAGAATTGAGTAAAGTTGAAATTGTTTCAGAAAAGGCGACAGAACGGACCAAATTGTCGGAAAAGCAAAAAAGACCGAGTATGATGTTTACGCCGCGGTTTTTAAAAGGAAATTTTTTCTACCGCAGAAATCAGACTAGAAACGACACAGCCGTACCCCAAAGTCCGACGGCAAAACGATCACGAGCGAAAACCTTGTCAACAGCTTCAACTGAAAACGAGAGCGAGAGAACTGCAAGCGTAGGATCTCGAAGCAAAAGAGAGACCAAGAAAAGGCATAGGCGGACAAAGTAAGTACTAATAACATCTTAATCTTTTGTTGCAATCCTATGGGCTTTGGGCCTTCCCAGGCACCTCCACCCAATTGTTTGATTTAAAAAAAAAACATGGGGTCGGTGATCCAACACAGTCGTCATGGCTTCGTTATTTTTTGCATAAAGCCGCGATAACCATTACATTATGTATTTATTTGCTTCAAACGCGTTGAACAAACCTACAAAGAAGTGACACATAACTCGAGGCGACGCATTCTCAATCAAAATATTTCCGAACCAACTGGTGCTTTGAAATGTAGAAATATGCATTTCGTAATAAATGCAATAACGTTTTATTGTAATCCTCTAGCGCTACAAGTGGAATATTCCAGGCCAATAAAAAGCATTAAATATGGCTTGGACGAGACTGATAATTTTGATATAAAAATCAGTGTCGTTTTACAAAAGTTAGTTTTAACCTGCTGGCTTTCATCTCACACTCGATCAAATATATAGTGGGAAAATTAATCGAAAAACTTCATTTTACAGGCGAACACAACAAGGCCGGCGCATGATGGCGTATCTGAGAAAGTCTTTCTACATAATGATGATTTGCGTCGTTACTGACATCGCATGCACTGTGGTACAAGCAAGAGTCGACGTTCCTGAATTAGTCTATCTAGTTATTTATGATCTTAATATCATCATTAATCTTGTCTCGATTGTGATGTCATTTAGAGACTGGGATTTGATATTGTTTCCAATGTGCGCAAGGTAAGCAACATTGCTCGGTGTGTAGGATTATCAGGGTCGTTATAACGCCACAATACTTGTTGCCATTTGGGGGTTTAGATTAATTCCATATAAATACATTGATAGTATAAAATAAATAAGTTATGAGAATAAAGTTCAGCTATTTTATTTTCAAATTAAAAGCCCAATATAGAAAGCAGTTTTGTTTGCAAATTTTTAGTGGTTAGACAAATTAAATTTTATTTATTTCACGGTTCAATACGATTTTTATTAATAATTTTTATTAGCATTGAAATGCCTTATTAATCAGTTACTAATTTATATATATATATTGGTTGTTTAATAAAGTGACTCTTGAGAGCTTTACTCATTTTATTAAATTGCAAACCAGTCTAGTCATTGCCTCATCAGGCCATGTCTGATGTCTAACCTCGTTATTAAATCCTACCAGTTCATCATTGCAAACATAATTGATTTTTAAAGAATAATTAATACGAATGCCTGTTAATGTTTATCTCGTGACACCACGTGCTGCACGAAATAGCAATTGTTGTGTCTGTGGGCTTGCCCAATGTAATAATTTACTGCCGTCGTATATCGCGTTATTTCAGTCCTAATTTAATTTTCCACATGGTGGACATTTCCGAACAAATTAATAAATAAATATGAATAAAAGAGTAGACTTACAAAGAAAAAGAATGTTCCACACGATCAAAGCAATATTTACATATTATACAATTTGTCTATCAAGAATATTACAACATGTTAGAAAATAATAATGCATTGAAATAAGATGATGAAATAAATATTGTGAAGTACCCTCCGCATAGTACTTACAGACTTTTTTGTACTAGTCTACTCATATTTCACACATAGATATTTAATCAAATGCATTTTGTTTTAGATCATCATCGAAAAGACACAGTAGCAGTGTAATGGGTTCTACAAGGGCTAACGTTGATCCTGCTGCTTCTAAACGAAGACTTGAAGCTTTACGATCCGTGAATTCAAAAACCTGTTCTTCACCTGCATTGAATTCTCCGAGATTACCGCCAAAATTGGACAATTCGCTTTCTTATGATGCGACCGAACCGAAATCGCAAGATGTCGCTAGTGGGAAACAAAATTACCTGGATCTGAATGGCAAAACATGAATATTGTGTTCATGTCAACACCTTTGCGCAATTGCAGCGCAAACAAACACAATAAGAGAAAACACAGGGCGGGATGTCCTGTTCCTTGCAGTTCTCATGCATGTTATTGTACTTGTGCTTTAAAATGGAGCAATCATCACCAGTTTCTTCACGTGCCTTCCCATGAACGTTTTCTAGCTTACTCCAATTTGTCAACGATTATTTAAACAATTCCTCTTTAGGGGTCAAATTCTTTTATATTAATTACTGTTTTGTCGTTGGGTATGAATCTTTTTAGTCGTCATAAAACCACCGTATAATTCAATGAGTACAATATAATAATTAATTAAGTTAAATTTAAACAAATTACCTTTTAATTATCTCTGTAATCAATACTCGTTCGTATTCTCCGAGAGTTCACCAGCAAATTGTGCTACAGGTTGAAAAATATATTATCACGCAATAAATTATACAACTACTCGGTGGTAATTATGGAAGAAATTTCTTTTCCCATAGCGAAAAATATTCCTGTTATTGATTCAGTGAATATGATATAATTGCATGCTGTTCAAAAATTAATCTATTTCAATACGTAGTATTATTTTTACAATGTAATTAATGTGTTTGAATATATCTTTTCTTATTATTTCGTAATAAAATATTCTGATTCCAAAAAAATTCGTGTGATAAACGTTGTGAAAGTGTCTCGGAAACAACCTTGCTATTCTGCTATCGGTTTTGATCCAAAACACATTTGCAAAAAGAGAGTTCATTAAGGAAAAAAAAAGTAACAATGTTAAGGATTTTGCTGGGCCGAACAGAACAGTGTAATCAACTGCCAAACCCCGCTGGATGCCTTATCAAGCTAAATTTTGGTAATTTGCTTAGTTGCATCAAATTATTGCACAAAAAGCTTCGATTGGAAGTTGATTTCTCCTCGCCACCTTGCAATATAGGTTTGTGAATATGCAATGGCTTTATGGTTTAGGGCTAGGCCATTGCAACCTGTGCGTCGCAGTAGGCGCCGTTCTTCCATAGGACACTCAGTTGGCCAATTCTTGCTATCAAACATAAGTTTTACGATATATTGCAATATGATATACTTCGCTACACGCAAGACTTATAAAGTAAAGTACCTCAATCGTTATTTTGCATTTGCTCTACGTTACTATACTTGACCCTACCCAGCTTGGCACCCGTGCAATACGTATTGCGTAGGACCCAGCAATGGTTCCATTATCTTTGAACCCGCGTACATTTGAACCCGTACATCTGAACCCGTAATTTGAACCCAGGACAATTGCACCTGTATACTATTGCACCTATGGACATTTGCACCTACGGACATTTGAACCCATACATTTCCACCCATGGATTTTAGCACCCGCATATAGATTGCACCCGCGGACATTTGAACCCGTGTACGTTTGCACCCGCGTACATTTGAACCCATGTACATTTGCACCCGCGGACATTTGAACCCGTGTACGTTTGCACCCGCGTACATTTGAACCCATGTACATTTGCACCCGCGGACATTTGAACCCACGAACATTTGCACCCGCGGACATTTGAACCCATGTATATTTCCACCCACAGACATTTGAACCCACGTATATTTGAACCCGCGTACATTTGAACCCACGGACATTTGAACCCGCGTATATTTGAACCAACGTATATTATATTTGAACTCGCTTAATTTGAACCCGCGTACATTTGAACCCACGTACATTTTCACAAAAAATGTTTGCCCCAACGGCAATTTCCAGTCGCAAATAATTTTCATGTTACAGGCGCAAGCTCAATATTCTAAATTTCAACACTGTTTCACTTGTAGTTAGTTTTGGTGTATATGCATTTATCCGCTTCTACGAAGCAAGCATTTTTGAGTGTCATTGTAGTCCGAGGGATAAACGTCTCTTAACGATATAAACAACATTGTTCTGCCAAAGTCTTTTTTCTTTGCTGTTTTTTTACATTGACATTTGTAAAACCTTATTTCATTCGTTAGCCGCGATCTCCAAAACAGACGATGACCTAGAAAGCGGTATTTCGTTGAAATACCTGAAACCAGGGCTAATACGGAACAAATATCTCACCGACCAATGAAGTCTTAAATGAGGGTCTTACTAAAACTAGCTTTACAGTTTTGTTCTGAAATTATTGCACCGAAAACGCCTACTATGATATCCCGCCCAGCATGAGATTTGGGAGCTCTGTGGCCACTTCATGTTTTCTTGCTAGCATGTTTACAAAATTGTTATATGTATGCATACACGACCACGCTTTACTGTTGAAAATGAGTGTTGTCTCAAATCAGGTTTTGACATTTTTCCTAAAATCAATCTATAAATTGAATACTATTGTCTGTATATAAATAAATAAACTCACAGATTCTTCGTTTCTAAGAAATATGAAATTAAGATAATGAAACTATGCCATTTTTTGTAACAACATGTTCATAGCCAAATGCCAGTTTTATTGAAGTATTGTTTCATTAGAATGTCAGAACAAAACTATACATAGAAATCGTAAGTCATGTAAATATGTTGAATATTCGAAAGTGAAGAAGTTTTAAAATCATTATCGTGGCCAAAATGTTTTTGCTATTTACACTATTTAGAGTGAATCGAACATATTCAGCATATAGGGTCTGTTAAATATGATATTGCAATTTACAAACGACGTCATAGGTTACGGATTACATTTATTTTAATATCTCAATAAAGTTATCACTCACAAATTTGTGTCGAATGGGCGATCAATTTTGAGATAGAGTAGCTATGGACGTTTAACAAAAATAGGAATTTATCAATTATGATACAATAGTTACAAGTAACAACAAATCAAAGTAATGACGATAAACGAAATTTTTACGATATCACGATCAAAATCAAATAGACTGCATTTGAGCTATTGAGTGGAGATACCTCAGCTTGTCGGTTTCAGTTCCATATGAAAAAACTTAACTGTCAACCTAACGGCAAGTTGTACATACTTTGATCTTTGGTGGGCCGTAAACTCCTACATGAGCATTTGCCGCAGTCAGTTTGTGACCGCAGTGTCTTTCGTAGGCCATTCAGCAAACCCATATATATACTCGGATGTTTGCATCGGAACATTCCTTGTAAGGCGTTGTGAAATCCTTCTACAGCGTTTGTTGTTCTTGGGGCCGAAGGCACCATTTCAATCTCTTTGGCATAGTTCCACAATCGAGGGGGAAATGTTGTTTCTATTGGACGTGAACCCACTTGAGCTCCACGAATGTAGGTAGATTCAAAATATTGCAAAAGTTGATTGCATTCGGGCAAATCTTCAAAGGTGTCGCAAAGCAAGGGGAAGACTTCGGCAAACCTCGTTAATGGGAACAAAAGCCAGAGCTGCCAAACTTCTAATTTTTCAGATTGAAAGAAGGTAAACATTCAAACTTCTCTTTTAAATCCGATAGAACCAACTTTCGAAATAGCTTGTGACAGGTGAAATAACATTCTTTAAAATCGGCCAGAGGAAAATGTGCATGAATGCATTGATAGCTGCTATTTCAAAATCAACAATGATTTTGGTGGGGTTAGCATTTGGGAAAATGATTTTCAACGCTTCCAACATCTGAACGTATGTTTCTTGTCGCTTGTCTCGTAATAGGAAATATACGCATGGTGGATAGGATGCGCCCACTTCACAGTGAATTGTATACAACTGGAAGAAAATATCGGGCACCACATCAAATGTACCGTCGCCAAGATATGGGTCACTATCTAGATGTGCAAGTAGTGATCAATCTCCAATGGCCATTATCCGATGACGATCCTCCGAGCCAGTGTCATGCAAAATGATATCTAAATATTCGCTCGGAATATCAAAGCTTGCACTTGTAGGATTCGTACGTGAACAATTTTTCTGTCGCCTTACTCTGCGTATATTGGCCTCCAGAGTCGACTTGCCTGGCAAGCGCATTACTACATCTGTTGATCTATTATTCAATACTTCACCTAAAATATATCTTGTCGATGTATTTGATGGTGTTGATGCTGCTTCTTTTAATGTTGCACGGATGATCCCAACTTCAGTCTTAATGCTGTCGCCAGAATGACTGTGATATCCTAGTTCTTTCATTACATTTTCACCGATTGTAACAACAGTCGTTTACATCGAAATTTCCTAAACTGACGGCAGCGCCAATGAGTAGCATCTGAAACCCGATCATTTCGCTTACAATATTCGTGGCCTTTGTAAATCAGTAAGTCGTTTCCTCTTGTGGTCTTGGAAAATGTAGGCGCCATGTTTCCAACTTATTTTCGCAAAGGGACTTGTCATCTTCGCAGCTGCAACGTCCTAAAGAAAACAGTTTGGAATTGTCTGCGAGGGGAAAAGGGCATTGATGCGAGAAAAACTTTGCGCGGGATCGAAACTAACTCATCAATTAAAATCCTTGCTCGCGCTCTTCAAGAGTCGTCGACCGTTCAAAGCACAAATCATACTCCCCAATTTTGGCTCGCATTCTACAGCGGAAACATTTTGTCCTTTGAGTCTTATGATATCGACAATTGCGATGACAATGACAGACGGAGTATAATATAAATATATAATATAATTTAAATATATAGAAAATAGTTGTAATAAAGCCTTCGAGTATATAATCGAGAATTCCATGGTGTTTTCGCAACGTATGCATTTGGACAAAAAAATCCTAAGTGTACCTTCCAATCCTATATACTATAGTATATAGCATGGAAGGATAAGGGTGTATATGTAAAGACGCATATATCCGTAAATGCAAATGCCCATGGGTGTAGATGTTCATGGGTGCAAATGTCTGTGGGTACAATTGTACGCGGGTGTAAATGTATGTAGGTTCAAATGTACGCGGGTTCAAATGTACGTGGGTTCAAATGTCCGTGGGTGCAATTGTACATGGGTTCAAATGTACATGGGTTCAAATGTCCGCGGGTGCAAATGTACATGGGTTCAAATGTACGCGGGTGCAAACGTCCACGGGTTCAAATGTCCGCGGGTGCAAATGTACATGGGTTCAAATGTACGCGGGTGCAAACGTACACGGGTTCAAATGTCCGCGGGTGCAAATGTACATGGGTTCAAATGTACGCGGGTGCAAACGTACACGGGTTCAAATGTCCGCGGGTTCAATCTATATGCGGGTGCTAAAATCCATGGGTGGAAATGTATGGGTTCAAATGTCCGTAGGTGCAAATGTCCATAGGTGCAATAGTATACAGGTGCAATTGTCCTGGGTTCAAATTACGGGTTCAGATGTACGGGTTCAAATGTACGTAGGTTCAAATGTGCTGTCACCCCCAGCAATGACTCTGACCCATGGCCTAATCGTCACATCGACTTTCAAAATACGTAGAAACATACTGGTCCCGAATTGTTGCACATGTTGATATTATTAAACATCATAGTCCAGTTTAATCTTGTATAAAAAGTAAAAGAAGCAAGGACAAGGAATTATAACCGATGTGGCAAAGAACAATATTCATTTTGGTGCTTTAACCATAAATCTCTATATTTGTGCCGGGTAATAACCTAATAAAATCTAAAAACCCAGCAATCTTGTGCTTCAAAGCTTGCACGACAGATAAGTCACGTAAGTAGGTCATAATGTTAGAAACAAGAGAGCTATGCTCAAATATATGGACACGTAAGACAGAACGAAATATTTTATCATCAATTCACCGAAAATCATAGGGTATCCTGAACGAAGCTGAACAGTGAAACAGTTACATGGCTACAATACGGTGATCTACCCAGCACGGCACAGTTTACCGATTTCAAGAAAAGTCTCCGCAATTATACACATCAAATATAACAGTGAGTGCAAGCCCTGCTTTTACGAGACAGTTTAGGCAACCATATCGGCAAACCAACACCGCGCAAAAAAACCTTTTTGTTTGGTCCAGTATTCGAAGAGAAAAGCGATTTTATGATGACGAAGAAGAAGAAGATAAACAAGACAACAACATAATATTGAAACGATTGTTATGTCCACTAACGTGTCCAAAAAAGATATTAGACTAGTCTTTTACCATGTAGGATCTGTATAAATGACGTAAATCGCCCACAAGAATGAATATCTTGAGTATTGTTTAAGTTGACGCGATTGCAACACAATTATTACGCATCGCAATATGACATGATAGTCAGAGAATGGTTAGAAGAGATACCTTACTGTTGAAAAAATAAAAATTTTGATAAATATCAAAGTAATTCAGTGTATTAAAACATTAAAAATCAACTATTGGAATGATATTGTTAAAATAGCATAGTAACATATTTAAAAAGATGTCCAAATCTTTAATACCTGCTCACAACAAATTTCTGAGATTTCAATCAAAATAATACTAAATTCAAGTGAAATATATCAACTGTTGAACAGCCTAAATAAATTACAAATTGATGCAATTCAGAAATTCAAGGATTACTTCAGACCAGGCATGACTCGGTTGCACCATTGAGGCAATCAAATCTGCTTTATTAAGAAGTACATTATTTCTCAGTCAGAAGTTCAAATAACAATACCCGACCATGTGTGGGCGATATATGTAAAGAAAGGCTTTATTGGTACGTTACAAGTTTTTTAAAACTGGTCTATTGTGACGAATATTACGTGGAGATGAGTTCACACCTTCTGACATACTTGTCGTTTGTTGCAATAACAGAGGAATAAAAATAGAGATGTTGGAATATTCTGTTTCATTCTACCTGTTCACTGGGAGTAATAATACAGGTACAGTGCGCAGTACATCGTTCCAATTTACAAGACTATCAACGATGAATGTGGACAATACAAGCAGCTATTCCCCGAAAGAACCGTATTTGGAAAAATACTGGCTGTTTTGCGAGTCAATCTTGGTTCTATTGGCACTTTCAGTGCTGTATTTGACTGCATGCTTGATTCTACACGTGCTGAAGAGAAAAACCCAAAGTCGAACAATTTGGCAAAAAAAGTGGTTGGAATGGCTTCCTTTAGTCAGCTCCACATTATTTTTTTTACGAATATGCAGTGACCACGTTTCAGCGTTCTATGGGTGGCGAGATGACGACTCTTGCTGGGTCACTGTCACAGTCAGTACGGTATTATTCGCTCTGTCTCTTTATGCAGTTTACATATTTCTTTGGGTGAGACAGAGCATATTTTATGCCGATTCTATCATAAAGGAAATTATAAATCCAATTGTTACATACGTGAGCTGGTTCACACTCGGGTTCATGTTATTATCAGGACTCGCGTTAAGCATTTTGTACAATTTACCGCAAGCTACACAATGGGTTTATCGAGCCACGGCTGATGGATGCAAAGAAGTTTCCGTTGATTCGCCTGAAATTATACCAGGAGTAGTAGCTGCGACAACAATAACATTTCAAGTAACTCTTCTGGTTTTGTTTGTTTATCCATTGATCAGTAAAGAGACCGCACGATTTCGATCTACCAACAATGGAGAACATCATCAGCCATCTTCAACTCTCAGCCGATCAGACGAACACAAGCAAAACGAAGAAGCAGAGAATGATACTGTCTTTCATCCGTCACCAGAATCTCCGGCCCATCGACCGCAATCCCATCTCGTCGGAAAGGAAAAACCAATTTCTCCTCTTGTTACATCGGAGAAATCACATTTTGTTTTTACTCAAAATGAAATTAAAAATTCTGTTGATACAGATCCAGAAAGTGGGACTGAATTAGTTAAAGATGATGGTGATAGTGTTTGGAGTGGTAAAAGTCCGACAATTAAACGAGGAGGCACAATGCCGCTGAATTTAAACAGAGTAGCCAAGAGGAGAACAGTAATTGATCGCGTGAAGTCAGTAAAACCCGGAAGTTTTTTTTTCAGACCCAAATCGAATTCTCTGTCTTCAGAAAATATGGAGAGTCGTGCCGCGAGTGACACCGAGTCGCGATATTCAGGACGCGGCGTAACTTTGAAAAGAAAAGCAAAAAAGTAAATTCAATTAGGCCCGCTACCTTCACTATTTAGGCATGCATAATTGTTGAGTAAAAACATTTCCATAATTTTACCTGGGTCTGTATGCTATATGTTCATGCTATGTGTGTTAATTAATCTATACATATTAATGATTTCAGGATTCCATTACATTTGAACCCACATACATTTGAACCCATGACAATTGCACCTGCATACTATTGCACCCATGGAATTTTTTTTGATTATATTTGATTATATTAGCACCCGCATATAGATTGAACCCGCGGATATACACATGGGTTCAAATGTACGTTCCCCATGATTTCAGTATTTGATAAGGTTTCCATGGGTCCTCTGTTTAATGAACATATCATATACATGATAAATATATTTAGTTGCGATATAACATGCTATTATGAGAAAATGGGAAACAGATATGGTTACCATAGAAATATTGCCTCGTTTTGAATACCCAATATATGAGACTGTATCGATTTGCATTTTTCTTGGGTTACAAATTTCCTAATTAATTCGGTTTTAATTCCTATGATGAATATATGATCATGCAGTGTCTTTATTTACAGAGAAAACGCGCGCGGGAGAATGCTTGTGGCCATGATGAAGAAATATGCAATGCTTATGTCTGTGTGTGTAATCACAGATCTCGTATCAGCTGTTATTCAAATAATATTCGTTCTACCTGAGCTGGTTTATCTCGTGCTTTTCGACGTGAATCTTCTGGTTAATCTAATATGTGTCATCATGACGTTTCAAGAATGGCAGAAAATTCTATTTCCTTGTGCAATAATCGAGTAAGTGTAGCTAATTCGTCTATCTTTTATTGAAGTATATAATGGGGATACGTAAGCATATCGGACTTGGGCACGGATTGGTCTGTCGCGTTAGTCATAATTGACTGTTTGAAGGACGCATTTGCTTGATGCAGTCAGGTAGCAAGAATACTTTGAAAACTAGAAATACTGTACATAACATGTCGCGAAGTCGTCTTGCTTTAATACGAACGAACGAAATAGAATCATACTTATCCTATGCTGTTTTTAAATCTTCTATAAAAAATATGTGTGTCAATATTTCACTATCAGATCAAACGCACTGAATCGAAAAAATGCTTACAAGTCAAAAGAAAAACCAACTTCGCTGAAAAAAGGAAGAAAACAAGATCGACGAGTTGAAGCCCTCCGTCAAGAAGAAAGAAGACCGGAATCCCGTCGTGGCACATCAAGACGTTCAAGTGGGAGTGGATACGATTCTGCTGATTCAACTTCTAGTCATATACAGTCACACATATACAGACATGCAGTCGAAACAAAGCCTTTAATGGCAACTTCTAGCGTTTAATGAAGTTGCGAATACACCCGTGTTATAAGCTACATTGCGCGACGAACGAACATGCACCGAGCGTCCATACACGTGGATTTATTCTGAACCTCGAAATTTCATCCACAATATTTACATTTAGCAAAAGCAAAAAAAATCCAATGAACTGCGTTTTTGTACTGCATGAAATAACTCTTAAAAATCATTTGGCGATTCTCGCGCATAAAACGATGAAAACTTCTGTTTTAAGAATATCTTAAATTTTTTGGGGATTTTCATATATATTATTCATCAAATCGAAAGCACATTTGAAGAATCTCCATTTTATGCTTGTACTATACTGGTGACACATTCAGTTCAATCTTTACTAAACTATGTCGTAGTCCATACCACTTGTGATGGAGGCATGAGTCTAATAGTATTATTCGCATATTTTCGCTCCGAATGAGGCAATGTAGAATTGGTGATACGATTCCAAAATGATATCTCTAACATTTGACAACAATATACTTATGCCAATCCTCGCAGATATTTGCAATTGGAAGTGTTTAATTAAATCCGACTACAGACGCGATATTTAAGCTACAACTATGCTATCGTAGTTGGTTACAAAAAACCTAACTAAGATTAATCAAGCATCTAGAAATTTGCAATTTAGTAAAAACCTTTTTTTTTGTAATTCTTGGCTTTTGGTGGCAGATTTCTGCAATAATAAAATGACTGAAGATCCATACACCCACTTCATTGACTAATTTTTCGCAAAATATAATTTTTACTTTGCTGAATGTAGTGTGATATTTCATGTCAAGTGTACTATATATTTTTAATGTAATGTAGTTGTCAATGTTTTCATCTTGAGAAAGGGAGCATAAAGGGCAAGCGCCAGATGATGCGTAATATTTTTACGGAAATTATTGGTCTATTGTTCTCGTGACATCATTCGATAAATTGACTTCGTTTATGACGCACATCGTTCCTCTTGCATGCATTAACATGAGTCATGAAGTGCGTAACGTGATCTCTCTGCATAAGACAATGAATTTTACCAACATTTAGGATTGGTATATTATGATTGAAGATGAATTTCGAAATTTTACGAATAGCTTCTCTTTTCGTATCGAAATTACCAACAGGTTTTTCCTCTTTTTAGAAAACTATGCCAAATTTCTAGATCTAAATCTAAAACAAGATCGAGCTCGTTGATTATCACGCCATTAAAAAAACGTGTTCGCACGAATACCATCGCATCTGTAGCGTCCATCATGCAGGTCGAAGGTTCTGCTGTCGACTGAGTCTTGTCTTTCATCGGATTAGAACAGTGGTTTTTTTTTAAGCACGACCGAAATTTGAAATTTCTGAATACTCGCGACCCAATCCTTAACGCCACAAAACTGTATTTTTAATGTCAGTACTTTTTGAATCAAATACAGACAATGATTTATTAAAAACTGTTCATTAACTCAGTGGGATTGGTGAAACTGAACTTCCCTTCCCAATATATCTTCAATACACGGCTATATTTTATTGAGGCAATGCGCAAGTTGTCACTACAATCGCGGCTATTGCGTGCCTTAGTTTTAATAACCATCAGTGCCAAAAATCCTTGCTCGCATATATACGTCGTCACGAATGGTAGCAAAAAAGTTATTGCGTCATTTCTAATTATTGGCTTCGTTTCCGATTTACTATACCGCTGTCCAACGCAAACATGCCATCCTAGCTAGGCCTTCGGTTTCTCTGGAAACTTTTCACTCATCCCATGTGCACACAGTGCTTCGTTCGCAGTAAATGGGGCTTTGAGCTGGAGCCACATCTTCTTCAAATCTTGAATCAGCTGATGTTGGCAAGCGAGCTTTTTTGTCTATTAGGATTCACATTACCAAAGAAGACATCCATTTTCGGTTGTTTTGCTCCAGTAAGATGACATTCCGCGAATCCGCGGGGTCAACTCAACAACAAGCAACCTGCATGGTTACCGATCTGCAGTTACACCAGGGCTACTCAACTATTTTTACCAAAGATCCCCATACAAAACCTTTAAAATTATTTGGGCCCGGTCTTTCCAGAAATTATATTTCGACATCTTTGAACTCCCCCTCCACGGCTGGCTAATGATTATTAGCTAATCAAGATTGTTTAATATGGTGTTATAATTATTTTTATATATATTCAAAACGACAAAAGTCACTTTATAAAAGAAAACTTCAAAAATGGTCCAAAAAGATCCAAAATAAAGAATTAGGTGCGGTCCGAGTCAAATACTGAAAAGGTCCGGATTCGGACCGCGATCAGCCATTAACACGTGACTAGTATATAAATTGTTATGTAACAATGGGCTCAAAAGAGTTTTTTTTTCCTGAATGGCATTTTATATTTCATAGTTTTTAAACACCAAAGTTAGGAAAATAAATTAATATTGAACTAGCTGAAATATTTGACGACCTTCTCTTGGATCGCCCTTGCATTGGCGACCTTGGCGCGACCAATACTTCAAGGGCCGCGAAACCAGGCCGTTTATCTTTCAGTTTCGTAGCGCACATAAGGGAACTACTTTATAAAAATAATTTTAATGTTCCTTAGAAATTCAGTAACAAATAATACCTTGTTCCCATTTCCAAAAGTTGTACATTTTACCAAAAAGGCGCTTTTACTGCAAAAATATGTGCCACCCTCTGTTCTATATTCTCTGCTTTTCTGGCAACATTGGCCAATGAACGCATACTTCTGGATGACGTAACAATGACTTTGATTGAACAGCTGTTTGCGGGAAGATGAATCTCAGTTATTACTGCTCGATCTTGCGTTGAGTTGGGCAGTCTTTCCACCGCCTTTTTTAGTTATTATTGGTTGAGTTACGCTAAGACGAAGAGTTATGCGAAATGAATATTTCCCGTAACTTGAAGTGATAAGTTCATACTTGAGTGTGCATGTACGGGGTAAGTGCACTAAAATACATATTTCCCGTACCTTAGAGCAATTTCCCGACATCCCCTCTTTTTGTAACATTTTCCCGCTTTTTAGTAAAATTTCCCGTTTCCCGCATACATGCACTAAAAAGCGGGAAACGGGGGGAACGACGGGAAATTGCCTATTCCAAATTGACGGAAAATATGCATGTTATAGTATTCGTGGGGGAAATTGCACTTGAAATCGTGGGCAACGAGAAACTTGAGCCTGTTTGTATGAGAAATTAAACTAAAAAGCGAAAGCAACGGAAAACATGCACTTGGGTGTGTGTACGGGAAATTGAATTAAAAAGCGGAAAAGACGGGAAATTTCACCAAAAAGCGGGAAATACGGAAAATTTAACTAAAATACGGAAACTAGTAGGAAAATCTCGAAAAACAGGAAATATGTATTCAGGGGTTTTAAGAAAAAAAGTAACAAGGTTAAGGATTTTCCTGGGCCGAATGGAACAATGTAATCAACTGCCAGAACCCCACTGGATGCCCCATCAAATTTTGGTAATTTGCTCAGTTGCATCAAATTAATACGCAAAGAGCTTCGATTGGAAGTTGATTACTCCCCGCAATCTTGCAATATAGGTTTGTAAATATGCTCTTCCTTTAGTCCATTGCAACCGGTGCCGCAGGTTGGCATTGGCAGTGGCCCCTGTTTTTTCATAGGACATTCAGTTGGCCAATTCTTGCTATCAAACATATTTTTTATGATATACTGCATGACTTTGCTACACGCAAGGCTTATGAGGTAAAGTTACTTTAATCGTTATTTTGCATTTGCTTTACGTTACTATCCTTAGCCCTATCCAGCTTGGTAACCGCGCAATACTATTGCGTAGGCTAAGGCCCGCAATGTCTCTGAACCATGGCCTAACCGTCAAATCGACTTTCAAAAAACGTAGAAATATACTGTTCCCGGATTGTTGCACATGTTGGTAAAATTAAATATCATATTTCAGAATAATCTTGTATAATAGGTGAAAGAATCATGGAATTGCAATGAATTATAACCGATTTGGCAAAGAACGATGTTCATTTTGAACCTTTACCCGCATAGCTCAATATTTGTGCCGGGTAATAATCTAATAAAATCCAAAAACACAGCAATCTTGTGCTTCAGAGCTTACACGACATATAAGTCACGGAAGTAGGTTATAATGTTAGAAAAAATATATTAGACTGGTATTTTACCGTGTGGGATCTGAATAAGTGACGTAAATCGCCCACAAGAATGAATATCTTGAATAGTTTATTGTTTAAGTTGACGCGATTGCAACACAATTATTACGCATCACAATATGACATGCCAGTCAGAGAATGAATGGTTAGTTAAAGAGATACCTTACTGCTACAAAAGTAAATTTAAATAATAATCAAAGTAATTCAGTGTAATAAAACATTAAAAATCAACCATTGAAATGATATATATTGTTAAAATAGTATAGTAACATATTTAAATAGATTTTCAAATCGTTAATACCTGCTCACAACAAATTTCTGAGATTTCAATCAAAATACCACTAAATACAAGTAATATATATAAACTGTTGTACAGCATAAATAAATTACAAATCGATGCAATTCAGAATTTTGGACAAGTAATTCGTTAGGCCAGGCATGACTCGGTTGCGTCATTGAGTCAATCAAATTTGCTCCAAGAAGAATATTATTTTTCAGTCGGAAGTGTAAAAAACATTATCCAAACCATGTATGGGCGACATCTATATAGGCTTTATTGATACGCTGCAAGTTTTTAAAAACTGATCTATTGTGACGAATATTACGTAGAGATGAGTTCACCTCTCTTGACATATTTGTCGTTTGTTGCAATAACAGAAGCATAAAATGAAGATGTTGAACAATTTTGTTTCATTCTATATTCAGTGGAAGTAAAAGAACGGGCATAGCATACGACGCAGTATTTAGTTCCAATTTACAAGATTATCAACGATGAATGTGGACAATACAAGTAGCTTTTCACCAAAAGAACCGTATTTAGAAAGATACTGGCTATTTTGCGAGTCAATCTTGGTTGTATTGACACTTTCAGTGCTGTATTTGACTGCATGCTTGATTCTACATGTGCTAAACGAGAGAAAAACTCAAACTCGAGGCCAAAAAATTTGGCAAAAAAAGTGGTTAGCATGGCTTCCCATAGTCAGCTCCATAATATTCTTTTTACGAATATGCAGTGACCATATTTCAGCGTTCTATGGGTGGCGAGATGATGACTCTTGCTGGGTCACTGTCACAGTCAGTACAGTATTATTCGCTCTGTCTCTTTACGCAGTTTATATATTTCTATGGGTAAGACAGAGCATATTTTATGCCGATCCTCTCATAAAGGAAATTATAAAGCCATTTGTTGCATACGTAAGCTGGTTCACACTCGGATTCATGTTGATATCTGGATCCGCATTGAGCATTTTGTACAATGTACCACAAGCTACGCAATGGGTTTACCGAGCCACGGCTGACGGATGTAAAGAAGTTTCAGTGGATTCGCCGGAAATTATACCAGGAGTAGTAGCTGCTACAACAATAACATTTCAAGTAACTCTTCTGGCTTTGTTTGTTTACCCATTGATCAGTAGACAGACCGCACGATTTCGAGCTAGTGACAATAAAGGACATTTTCAGCCATCCAATTCTCTTAGTCGATCAGACGAACACAAGCAAAACGAAGAAGAAGAAAAAGATATTGTCTTTCATCCGTCACCAGGATCTCTTGTCCATCGACCGCAGTCCGCTTCCGTCATGAAGGAAAAACCAATTTCTCCTCTTGTTACGTCCGAGAAATCACGTTTCGTGTTTACTCAAAGCGAAATCAAAAATTATGTTGATACAGATCCAGAAAGTGGGACTGAATTAGTTAATAAAGATTGTGATAGTGTTTGGAGTGGCAAAAGTCCAACAATCAAAAGAGGAGGCACAATGCCGCTGAATTTAAACAGAGTAGCCAAGAGGAGAACAGTACTTGATCGCGTGAAGTCAGTAAAACCCGGAAGTATTTTTTTCAGACCCAAATCGAATTCTTTGTCTTCAGAAAATATGGAGAGTCCTGCCGCGAGTGACACCGAGTCGCGATATTCAGGACGCGGCGCAACTTTGAAAAGAAAAGCAAAAAAGTAAATTCAAATGAACATATCCTATACATAATAAATATATTTAGTTGCGATATAACATGCTATTATACGAAAATGGAATACAGATATGGTTACCATAGAAATATTGCCTCGTTTTGAATACTCAATATATATATTAGACTGTATCGATTTGCATTTTCCTTGGGTTACAAGTTTTCTAATTAATTCGGTTTTAATCCCGATGATGAATCTATGATCATGCAATGTCTTTATTTACAGAGAAAACGCGCGCGGGAGAAGGCTTGTGGCCATGATGAAGAAATATGCAATGCTCATGTCTGTGTGTGTAATCACAGATCTCGTATCAGCTGTTATTCAAATAATATTCGTTCTACCTGAGCTGGTTTATCTCGTGCTTTTCGACGTGAATCTTCTGGTTAATCTAATATGTGTCATCATGACGTTTCAAGAATGGCAGAAAATTCTATTTCCTTGTGCAATAATCGAGTAAGTGTAGCTAATTCGTCTATTTTTTATTGAAGTATAGAACGGGGATACGTAAGCATATCAGACTTGCCCATAGATTGGTCTGTCACGTTAGTCATAATTGACTGTTTGAGTGATGCATTTGCTTGATGCAGTCAGGTAGCCAGTTAAAGACTACTTTGACAACAAGAATACTGTTCATAAACATGCCGTGAAGTCGTCTCGCTTTAATACAAACGAACGAAATGGTATTATACTAAATCTAATGCTGTTTTCAAATCTTCGTTTTAAGAATATATATATATATGTCAATATTCAATTATCAGATCAAACGCACTGAATCAAAAAAATACCTACAAGTTAAAAAGAAAACCAACTCCACTGAAAAGAAGAAGAACACGAGACCGAGTTGAAGCCCTTCGTCAAGAAGGAAGAAGACTGGAGTCCCGCCGTAGCTCATCAAGACGTTCAAGTGGGAGTGGATACGATTCTGCTGATTCAACTGGTAGTCATACTCACATATACAAGCATGCAGTCGAAACAAAGCCTTTAATGACAACTTCTAGAGTTTGATGGAGTTGTGCCTACATACACGTGGATTTATTCCGAACCTTGTAATTGCATTCACAACATTTATACTTAACACAATAAATCCAATGACCTGCGTTTTTGTACTGCATGAAATGATTCTTGAAATTCATTTGTCGATTCTCGCGCAAAAAATCCCGATAAAAGCTCTTCTTTTTTTTTGAATATCCTCAATTACTTATTTTTATTTACTTATTTTTTATTGACTTATTACCAATTTTCATATATATTATTCAATAAATCGAATGCACATTTGAAGAATCTCCACTTTATGCTCGTACTACTGACAAGCTATTCTATACTAGTGACACCACTCAGTACGATTTGTTTCTAAACTAAACGATGTCATATTCCATCCAACATTGTTAATATATATACAGTAGAAAAATAGGATTTATGCGTATGATACAAGAATGAGTTTTATATGATATTCCCATATTTTCGCCCCGAGGCAATGTACAAGTAAGGGAGTGATTGTATACGATTCCGACCTGATATCTCTTACATTTGACGACAATATATTTATGCCGATTCTCGCAGATATTTGCAATTGAAAGTTCTTAATTAAATCCGACTTTAGAAGCGATATTCAAGGTACAGTTATGCTATTGTAGTTGGTTACAAGAAAAACATTAGCCATAACTAAAAATATTCAACATTCTAGAAATTTGCAATTAAGTAGAACCCTGTTTTTTTGTTTTTAATTCTTGGATTTTGATGGCAGATTTCTGCAATGATAAAATGACGGAAGATCCATACACCCACTTCATTGACTAATTTTTCGAAAAATATAATTTTTTCTTTACCGAATGTAGTGTAATATTCAATGTTAAGTGTACTATTTACTTTCAATGTAATGCAGTTGTGAATGTTTTTTTCTGGGAAAGGGAGCATAAAGGGCGAGCGCCGGATATGGCGTGATATTTTTACGAAAATCAATTATCTATTGTTCTCGTGACATTATTCGATAAGTTGGCTCCGTGAATGACGCACATCGTTCCTCTTTCATGCATTAAACATGAGTCATAAAATGCGTAACGTGATATCTCTGCATTAGGCAATGAATTTTACCAACATTTAGGATTTTTAAATTCGGTGCTGGTATATTATAGTTGTAGGCCATGATGAGGTTCGAAATTTTACGAATAGCTTCTCTTTACTTAAGTGATTCAAGAGTCTTGCTGCACACTAATACAAATATATTTCTGTAAAGTTTCGTCTGACCAAGGTGAGACTCCTTCAGACATACATAGTTGAACTATGTATGTCTGACCTGGGTCAGACGAAACGTTACAGAAATATATTTGTGTTAGTCACAATACCAGTTCAAATAATACCTGCTTTTTGGTTCTGGATCAAGGGTCTCCAACTCAAAATACGTCACGGGCCACTTCATGAAATTTATGAGTTTTACATTAATCATTCCAGAAGTTGATGAAATGAATTTTCTCGGGACAAATTTTCTTGATTTTCTTTTCTTAATCAATTTAACGAGCTGTTGCAACAGTTGCTCCAAAAATTATAGAATGTGAACGATCTCATGGCTAGCACATTGTGCGGTCTAATGATTTCATTGAAGCATGTACATTATAAGGTACAAAAATAAAAAACCAGCCGCCGCAACTGGTGTTGCAGCTCGCAGCTCTTATCAAATTATTATTGGCAGGATATTTCGACTCTTGCTGCTGGGCTTTTCGTCGAAAAATGTAAAATATTTACTAGGTGATCTAGCGACGCCATCATGTTTTCCATGTTCTCGTTGATAAAACTTAATTGTAATTCTAATGACATCCAACAGTGAAAAATTAGCCTTGATGTTTCCGGCGGAACCCTATAAAGACGCGGGGTTCAAATTGTTTGTTTTTAGAACAGCTGTCAATCCCGATGAATGCCCACAATCGTTACTAACTCTTTTTATGTCTTACACACATGATAAATATTTAAATTTGATAGTTGATCGAAACATGAGGAATCGTAGTTTGCAAGTTATTTTTTTTTAAAATAACCAAGGCGAAAAAAGCCGCATGAAACCGGCGCAAGAGTTGCATGCGGCTCGCGAGCCGCGGGTTGGCCACGCGTGAGATATGAAGTTTATTACGTGGGAGAAAGCAAAGTCCCAGTTATTGTTTTTTATTATTCCGATGACTGTTGTTTCACTTAGGTTGACACAAGATAAATTCTTTCTCCATTAGACATCCAATTATATGCAGTGCAAATGCCTGGCAGCTATACCGGGCTATCTATAATGTAGGATAGGATTTTACATATTTAACCCGGGGGAGAGAAAAGCCGATAAGACGGCTTATCCATATGGCGAACCACGGCCTCTCGTCTACGATTCCAAGTCAGGTATGGGATTAGTTATATGGTGGGTTTTCGGAAGCATAGACTTGGTGGTGGAGGAAGCCGTAACCGACCAGCGGTTACGTGAACCACCCAACGACGGCGAGGAGTCGAGCAATCCTCTAGCACAGTGGTTCTTAAAGTATGGGTCGCGACCCAAACATGGGTCGCGGAAGGTTTAAAAATGGGTCGCGACAAGGTCGTCAATGCAAGGGCAATCTAAGAGGAGAAGGACGAATTTTCAGCTTTCCCAATGTTTCAATTTAGCTTCTAAACTCTGGTATTTAAAAATAATGAAATATAAAATTTCATTCACGGAAAGAACTGTCTTGAGCTCATTGTTACATCACAATTCTGATATGCCAGTCACGTGTATTATTTTTATGGTATCGGTAACCATGCACGTCGCTTGTCGTTGTGTTGACCGCGCGGAATGTCGTCTTAGTGGATTAAAATAACCAAAAATCGGTGTCTTTTTGGTAATGTAATTTGTAATAGACGACGCAATGAAAAAGCTCGCCTCTCGACATTAGATTATTCAATATCTAGAGAAAATGTGACTTCATCTCGAGGCACCATTTACCGCGAACGAAGCAGTGTGTGCACATTTGATGATTAAAAAGTTGTATATTGCGAGAGATACCGAAGGATAGAGGCCAGCTAGGATGTCATGTTTGCGACGGACAGCGGACGCCTTTTCTGCTACAATTCGCGACAAGGCACTGTTTCTAATAAATAGCTGTCTGTATTTGAGTCAAACTGTACTAACATTAAAAACACATTTTGCGTTATTTAGGATTGGGTCGCGAGTATTCATAAAACTCAAGATTTGGGTCGCGCTCGAAAACGTTTAAGAACCACTGATCAGCACATAACCATCATTGCATGGGATTCGAACCTGCGAACCCTAGCAGAGTAATTAGAGAATTACATATTTGAATGTATTTTAAACTCTCTGCCAAACATCAGGATAGTAAAATACACAAAATGTGTTTGTATTTTTTTATGAAAACTACACAGTGAAAATAGAACAGTATTAAAATATAGACAAAAATAACAAAACAACAATTATTCACATTCATGTGCCTAACTAGAATGGGATCATACTATACATTTTAAAATTTAAACATTGTAATAAGCTAACAATGGATGAATAAACACTGAACTGTTTGGGAAATGCCCATTAACCAATTTTTATACCAAGTTCAGAGTTATACAGGGGATGAAGTATAAAAAGATCAGGAATCAAGGAATGTCAGCTTCAGAATGGATCCACTGGTATATTACAAACAAACAAGACTAGATATCAATCAAGTGGTTGAAAATTGATCAATCAAATCTATTTGTTCTGCTTCTTGCTTTTGCAAAGCTTCATGTTGCATGCGTAACCTGAAATATTTGAAGAAATATAATTACTTTGACAGTTAATGTCTAGGCTAAGCTTGAGAAACATATGCTTGCCCCGAAACAAGATGCTGTAGTTTGTCCTAGGTATTTTAAAAACAAGCATAGACAATGCCATTGTCAAATCTATATTTATGCCAAATCTAAATTCCATGGATTACTAGTAGATGTATGGGTTTACTTTTGACTCCATAATCACAATAAAAGATGTAAAATCAAAATAAATAAAATTGATTACAGAATCAGGAAAGCGTACAAAACCTCAAGGTTTAAAACGTACAGTATTTAGATTGAAAGGTGTTGTCAAAAAAAGTGGTACGTGTTCACACACAATGCTCACACAAAATGCAATGCCTCGGTTTTTAGCTGACATTCTTTTCTAAAGGGAAAGAAATTTGACCACGCCCACAGGTAATGAAGATTTTTTGGGTTCAGATATTTCCTGTCATATTAATTTGCGACTCAATGACAGAGAATAAAATACCAAAACACACAGTACCTTTCTAATTGTGTTTTCTTCTCTACAATAAGAGCTTGAAGTTGTTGCTGCTGGGCTTCTCTTTGTTTTGCAATTGACTTCAGCAAATTTCTTGATCCGATCGCCTGACAATATGCAACATGAAATAAGTCAGAGTTATCAATTATAAAAGAAGGTCTGCTCAAAATTAAACACAGGGAATCATATAGTCTCCAATCTGAAGAAAAATGAACAACAATACAACTGAAAGCACATGGTAAATCGGAATTATTAGATTCACTTACATTCTACAGCATATAGGATACTTTCACACAAACGATATTCAGTATTGGGAACAGTGGGCTTTCGACAGCAAACATTTTTTTTTCGATCATTGTAAGAAATGAGAATGCACAGTAATTTGGGTCACCAACCTTCATTTTTTCTTTTTCAACATCCTTGGATAAATTATCAGTGATATCTATGAAGCTCCCAACAAGTTTTTGAAAATCTGCAATCTCTGAAATACAAATTAATAAAAGAAATAAGGCATTCAGATACAAAACATTATTGAAAATACAGCACAATGTGAAATTGTAAAGAAAGCATATATGCAAGCAGGGCTGTAGAGTTAAGAAAAATTGGCACTTTATTACTAACTCAGTACATAGCCATTTAAAATCTGACTTAAGCTCCAGACTATTGGTTGACAAAAAGTTTACCTCCAAGTTAAAGATAGTTTGGGCTTACACACTAGCTCCTAACTCGGAGATAATCAAGCTTTATTAGCAAAAACAATAAATCGAGCAAGCCAGCTTTCTTTGTTTGTTGAGAATGCCTAATCTACATGATGTGTTTGGAATTTCTGTTGTATATTTCAACTTGAACTATTAGAAGGCTGAAATTATGACTCAATTTGATTTCAAAACTCCTGCTACTGGCTGAAATATCAATAGAAGCACGCTAGACTCACTACTACACAGACCATGATCCATCCATCAATTTATAGATTTTCAATGAATGTAATGAGTAATGACTGATGGTAAATGAGAAGAGTGCTTCTGATACACTAAATGAAATGATCATATTTACCTTATATTACAAATTCTGTACTTACTTGCAACAAACTCACGACATTCATCCTTTAATTCAACAGTTTGTTGAGCAGCTTCAGGATCTAACACTCTTAATTTGTTCAAATCATCAAAATGTAAACCAGCTCGACTCAGAGCATCTTCAGCAGACATCTTCATTTCCTGCCTAGTATTCTGGAATTTAATTTAAATTACCTATTTCTGTATTTCTACAATGCAATTTTAAATAAAAAATATTGTAAAATGCTGAATATGCTCATAAATCATATATCGAAATATTCACTGCAAACAAATATACAATTTTGCGGTAGCCTATTCTGTATTTGTGCAAGACATTAAAGAGCTAGGGAACATATAACAAATACTGTTAACGGAACAGCTACGGTAACATCCTGAAAAAGTAAAATCAAATTGACTGTTTTAAATGACCTACAGACCTATTCCAAACACAGACGATTTTCGGACTATCACTGTATTAGGTATACTGCTGTATGGTAAGCTACTGTACCCTGTACTGTGAAGACCCGCTCTCTGGTATCAGGCTATTAAATTGTGTAATTCCTAAATTCAGTAATTGCTTAACAATGTATTCGCAGATTCGAGTCAGATAGGCTGGCTGAATAAAAAAAAAATTCACTGCAAAATTATGTCAATGGCGTCGAAACTGAAAACTCGAGCTGTGGTGAGGATACACTGATACATAGCATACAGACATACCAGTATACCTGTATACGGTATGCAAATGAAAAGAAAAAGTTACGGTAAAGAGTTAGAAAGCACAGCTGAAATCTTGGAATCATGTCATTTCGTTATCGCTACCTCAAAGTTCCCGCGTTTACCGGTATCTCAGGCTATCCCAATGCTGTATATAAAAAATTATAGGAACATAATTTTCCCGGCACGTACAGCATAAAAATCTCAAAGCTCCAACAAAAAATCATATCCGAATTCAGATCGAGTGTTGATGTCGGTGTTTCGCAACAACAATTTTAAATCAAGCGGTTGTGAATCTGAACGGGGAGTGAAAATAACAAGGAAGCGACACGTGGTTAAATATTTTCATAGCAATGACGGTTTTGAACGTGTAAAACCGTTTGTGAAATCCACTCTCCAACACACTCCCAAATCAAAAAGTTTGCTATAGCAAAGTACGGTAGAAAAAATTTTTCCGGGGTCAAGGGTCGGGGAAACGTCCATAGCCTGCCAATGACAATTTTTGAACACAGAGTGTCACTGGTAAGGTAACCAATGCCAGTGGGCGGAAGTTGACTTCGGGACGGAATAACTCAACTCCAGGCGATAAATATGAAATGGTATCCCAATCTCTGTTAAAATTTGATCCTTTAACCAGACATTTCACGTACAGGATGGCCAACACGAACTGGATAAGTTTGAATTGCATCCACCACGAAAAAGCAACTGCTGTCATAATTTATTTTGTATCATTTTCTGAAATTGCCGTTCCAGCCTTGGCATTTTAACACATATATACAAATCCAAACCACGTGATATGAGATTTTGAACATCGCACAAACAACTGCGGTTTATTCCAGAAGCATTGTATCATGAGCAGTATTGTACTGTAACATAACGAATGAATCAACCTAATTAGCACAAAAAATGACACACCTTAACCATATAAAAACAGCATCAAGATAGGAATATAACAAAAAGTATGCAAAAATAGCAATCTAAACAAAAATAAAGCAATGGTTGAAAAGAGAGGGAGGCAAGTGTTAAACATCATAGATGGAATCAACTTTGAAAAGTAAATGCGAACATACAAAATATCACTCAATTCATGATGAACCAAATGGATAATATTGTATAAAACAGGTTGCGCAAAAGAGCATAGTTTTCCCACTACGGTAACAGTTATGATTTAGCCATGGCAAACAATTTATCAACATAGTCGGTTCTCTTTATGGAGACAATAGTAAAATTTAACAAATAACTGCAGAAACAGAAATATTGATATAACATAAAAACCAGGTTGTGCATAAGAGCCAAGTTTCATCAACATAGATTCCTTTCTTTGTTTGAAGAATATAATGTGAAAATTCCATTCTATTAAATCCATTAATAAATATTCCATCAAATATCAGGATTCTACAGCGGAGTAAATTCTCTCTGATGATAGGCAACAGAGATGTGCTAGGACAGTGAGTATATGAGCAGCCGACCCAATCTGACAAAAAATGTAAAATTTTGGAAACTTTGTGAAAGCAAAATCCAACAATTCGTAAGTGATCAGTGTTTGAAAAAGTAACTAACCTTAATCTTTCCAGAAGACTGAACTCTGATGAATGGTGTGGAAATCTCTTCCAGTATGAGAGACTAAAGAAAATTTCAAAACGATTTAATGAAATTTCATATTCAAATATGACAAATATACTTCCCACATTTTTTGTTATTACTTACCAAGCATGAATTTGAATAAACAATACTTTCCTAATCTATATATTGTGCAAAATTGTGCTAACAAAGATGGTTCAACAAAGACTTGAAAATGACATGCATATCATTATGCCAACAATACTACAACATACAACATCTTTATACTACCTTAGTATTGAATTTTCAGTTCATTTCAGAATTCCACCCGACTAGATTACAATTGGACTTACGTCAAATTTTATGCCAGACATTCCCTTAAGATGGGAAGTTATCGCTGACATGAATTTTTCCACATATTCTACAGTCATCTCATCATTTTCAGAAATCTTCATGCTAATGATGAAAAGTTAAGAGAATTAGTAACAGTGTAGAAGTGGTATTTTGCCCACATCAAAGTAGACAACATTTTTTTTATATTCTTTCCATACTTTTCTTTTCAAAAAAATCTCTGAATGAACAGAAACTGACATGTGAGGAGCCAATATCTCTAAAATATCCCCAGTTTGGCGTCGCTCATCCAATATAGCCTATTACTCCAAATCCAACCAACAGAAATAGGCCATCATGCCAACTAACTAATGATGGAAAGATGAAAAACTTAATATCTTTACCTTTCCCAAATCTCAGTTGTAGATGATGGAGCTATCTGAAATTTGATTGTATCCAATCCTATATTGTCAACAGGAATCTTCCAAATGAATTCAGTTAGAAATGATTTTCTCTTCGAAGAAGGAATGTATTTAAAACTTGTCCACATGCTCATCATCCAACTTAAATCAATTGGATTAAACTTCACAGGTCTAATGACACAATCGAAATTGTCCTGTTAAATTTACATAAAAAAAACACTCTATTAGTAAAATAAATGCTCGAATTTATAGACATGAAGGTTGAATTACTTACGGTACAAGCACCCACAATGCCAGCTGAGTCAGTTAAATGATTTGTACCTAATGCCATACAAAATATTTGAAAACAAATTAACACTGTGTGTCACAACAATGTGTGCTATAAATTATAGAAAAGAGCATTTATGGGCATGCACATGGGAATAATGGAAGATCTTCCATTTTTCAGTACTGAAAATTTGAAATTGATTGGTTAGTTGCGATGAAATGCTATTTCTTCAAAACAACCCTGACAACAAAAATTTAGAAAAACGATCCATTGATTCACTTTGTATTAAGATACTTGAAAAGTGAATTTTATCAATGAAATCACGCAGATTTTGTACATATTTGCTTTACTCATCACAAATATTCTATAAAATGCATTGCGACAGAACAATAATAAATATAAATAAATATGAATGTGCTGTATCTTTCACTAGGTAATTCTCAAGTTAATTAAGACTGTAGAATATACCTCACCTCAAACCAAGAAATTACAGCTGAACAAGGCTTCTGGATATATCCATTGTAAATCATGATCGGTAGGAAATAAAAACCACTTTTCAATAATCGTATTGTCCTAATATTCTCAGCTGTTGGATTTGAAAATTCGAGAGGGTTGACATCCACAGATAGAAAATATACTTCAATAGGATTTTTCTTTTCATCATAAGATATGTGCAATTTTATAGCATCAGGTTCATCTGTTGATTATGTAGAGTTGTAAATAGAAATAATGAAATAGTTTGCATTTCAGAAAGGAAATTACAAAATTAACCATTCAGAAATATTATCGTTAATTAATCATTCATCAGGGTCCGAGGATGCTGGAGTTAAAAGAAATTCGCAATAGACTCAGATCTAAAATAAATTTTGACTGCGGATCCAGACACTCGATTGTAGGAAATTTCTACTTCGACACCAGCTCCAAGAAAATCCAACTTTGTCATATACAAGCCTTCTTTAATAGACCGTTAATAAGAAAGACTAGGCGCCAGTAAAAACATGCTAAGCTACTCAACAGTCCTGGCTGTGATAAGCACACTTGGGAAAAATGGATAGAAAACCATACCTTGTTGAATTGCAAATCCTTGAACTACAGAAAACTGAGCTGTCAGTCCACCTGAGAATTCTGATGAGAGAAAACAATCCTGTTTCTGAATCTCTGATGTTAAATATGCTGATAGATGTTGCGAATAATGTCTCAATGAACTTTCATCAGTACGAAAATTGTACAAAGGTGAACAAGAATGGCAAATCCAAGTTTTATACAGCATTCCTGTGATAATTGGTAACATAGTAATTACACAATATTTAAAATACTAATTTAAAGTATGAATGAGTTTATAAATTTCACATATTACAAAACTAAATATTTTTGCCAAATTTGCCTACACTATTTAGAGTGAGTTTGATTTAAGATAAAAGTTTAAACAATGGAGTGAAAAAGAATGAGGTAAAGTAAGTATGTACTTTGATCAACTACTTAATCTTGACAAATCAGCTTACACGAGAATCAATTAATGTAAATAGCCCCTGGTTTCGCTGTCATTGCCTAGATTAAAAAAATGGACAATTTTATAAAGCAACTTAGGTATTGAGGCAAACAAAAATTACCTTTAAATATGCCCTCAATTTCCGGAGTAATTACAGTTTTTTTATGTCTTTTATGTTTTTTTGTATCCAATAAACTCTGCCTTTGTATTTTCCTCTTACGAACAGTCGAATGTGGTGTTTTAAAACTCATTATTTGTTATAATTAAAATACTGGGAAATAAAATTACAATTTAGAACAAGCACAAAGATTTAAAAATATTAAATCAGTGAGAGTGATAATAGAGCATTCTAGAAACAAAATAAAAAAAGTAAATCAATCAAGGTAATAAAGACAAAGTCGCAATTAAATTTTTTACAACATCTTATCCATTCCAGTACAACTGCCAGAAATTATCGAAAAACATTTTATGGTCGTATAACATTTTTCCCAACCTAGGTTAGATTGAAGCTACCGACAAGTCCAGTAACAATGGTGGTCAATTTAATTACCTCTATCAACCTGTTTCATTTCACTTTTTCCAATTGCCAAAACCCGCTATCGTAAAATGAGATAAGACATGAACAGAACTAGAAGCATGATTGCATAGAGCTAAATGAAATATTTACTAGGCATGAAACAAAGGTACAATCTTTTTTATATCACTTCGACATATCGGACATGTTTTTGGGGATGGCAAAATTTCAACACAATCTACACAAGCACAAATATGACCGCAGTCAAGAATAACACATTCTCTAGGATTCGTTAAACATATGATACAAGTATCATCTTGACCTAAATTTCTTTCAGACATGTTTCCTGTTGTCCTTCGTGTTGCTTGCCTTTGCTGTCTTACTTCTGCGAGTTCTTCACGCATTTTAGCATATTCCACAGCAGATTTGTATTTTTCCCAGAAGCGCTTTCCAGCAAAATAAAGTCCAATAACAGTGGCAGCGAATGACAATATTCCTAAAACTTTCCATAGCTTTGACTTGGACTGAAAATGACGAATAACCTCAGCATGTGATGATTTAGTGAGAATGTATTCACCATGGATTGGTTTTTTCAACTTTAAGAGTCCGTCTTCAATAAAAAGTTCGCCAATACCTAAAAGTTTCGTTCCAACTTGGAGCATCTTTTCTGTATCAGTATATCCTTTTACTCTATCTCCAGATACTATTCCAATTATTGAATCCATTACTGAAGAATTAGGAGATCGATATTCTTTATTTATAGTATCAAGAGTGTCACTGCACCACGAAGACTGAAATGGGTCAACAACATGAACAGTTGCATTATCAGCCCCTTTCAAACTGAATGGCACAGTGTCTGTTATATTTGAAAGTTCATTCTCACTTTCATACCAAACATGAGAATATTTTGCCCACACTTCTTTGCGCTCTTCAGTAATAAAATTGATAATGACACCTTCGCGATCTGGGAAATATCGACTTCGTAAAGAAGCTGCATCTGGTTGTACTTTTCCAGACAATGCCACATACTGGAAATTGTCACCAGCGTACTTCACTTCATTTAATAAATCATCATTGATTGACAACAAAGAGGCATCTTTTATATACTTGGCTGCAGCATCATGTTTATTTCGAAAATGATAAAACAATGAGGACAATCCAAAACCTAATCCAACCAATGAAGCTTCCAATAAAACTTCACCATCTATGCAGTCATACAATACATCCGTCCAACCCATCTTTTAAGTAATTATTTTCTGATCTATCGCAGCATCACCAGTGTTTAACATCAAAATTTACAGATTTATGTGCAAAACCTGAATTGGTCAACAATAGAGTAAAAATAAAGAATTAAGCTGCTATCCGGGTATTTTGATGATCAAAAAGTCATTGGATGAGCTTTCTGATCTACAGGCAACAGGAGAAGGGTGAACTCAATATACTCCCTCAGCTTAGCATGTACCGTACATACAGACATAGCTGGATATTTGCAATGTTTGGAGGTTGAAGTTTGGGTTCAGTTTGATCCCGCATACTGGCGGTATTTATTTCAGACTGCGACATCTTCAATTTTTGCTCAAAACTCATTCCATATGATATTAAAGATTTTGATGAATGTGACAGCCCTCTGGTAGGGTAGTTATAAAATGGCTATGTCCCATATGTCCTCTATGTCCCTACTAAAATGGCTATGTCCGCTATGTCCCTACTAAAATGGCTATGTCCCATCTAAAATTGCGACTCCGATATTTTCCTACTAAAATGACCATGTCCCAACTAAAATTGCGACTCCGATATTTTTCTACTGAAATGACCATGTCCGCTATATCCCTACTAAAATGACTATGTCCGCTATGTCCCTACTAAAATGGCTATGTCCGCTATATCCCCACTAGAATGGCTATGTCCCTACTAAAATGGCTATGTCCCATCTAAAATTGCGACTCCGATATTTTTCTACTAAAATTACTATGTCCGCTATGTCCCTACTAAAATGGCTATGTCCCATCTAAAATTGCGACTCCGATATTTTCCTACTGAAATGACCATGTCCGCTATGTCCCTACTAAAATGACTATGTCCGCTACGTCCCTACTAAAATGGCTATGTCCGCTATATCCCTACTAAAATGGCTATGTCCCTACTAAAATGGTTATGTCCCATCTAAAATTGCGACTCCGATATTTTTCTACTAAAATGACTATGTCCGCTATGTCCCTACTAAAATGGTTATGTCCCATCTAAAATTGCGACTCCGATATTTTTCTACTAAAATGACTATGTCCGCTATGTCCCTACTGAAATGGCTATGTCCGCTATGTCCCTACTAAAATGGCTATGTCCCATCTAAAATTGCGACTCCGATATTTTCCTACTAAAATGAACATGTCCGCTATGTCCCTACTAAAATGACTATGTCCGCTATGTCCCTACTAAAATGGCTATGTCCGCTATATCCCTACTAAAATGGCTATGTCCGCTATGTCCCTACTAAAATGGCTATGTCCGCTATGTCCCTACTAAAATGGCTATGTCCGCTATGTCCCTACTAAAATGTCTATGTCCGCTATATCCCTACTAAAATGGCTATGTCCGCTATGTCCCTACTAAAATGACTATATCCGCTACGTCCCTACTAAAATGAACATGTCCGCTATGTCCCTACTAAAATGACTATGTCCGCTATGTCCTACTAAAATGGCTACGTCCCTTCTAAAATTGCGACTCCGATATTTTCCTACTAAAATGACTATGTCCGCTATGTCCCTACTAAAATGACTATATCCCTACTAAAATGGCTATGTCCCTACTAAAATGGCTATGTCCCTACTAAAATGACTATGTTCCTACTAAAATGGCTATGTCCGCTATGTTCCTACTAAAATGGCTATTTCCGCTATGTCCCTAGTAAAATGGCTATGTCATCTACTACATTTTTAATATAGCCATGCATATCTGAGAAAAAAAGCTAGTATATGTCTTGATGCAATTAAAATAAGTTTATTGCTTAGGCATATTAACGAATTGTGTCTCATACACGAGCAAATTAGAAATTTACAGCTCAACTCTATCAAGGTCTACATATTTAATATTCATCAAACCATGTATTGAAATGCGTTGCCAATTAGAGACAACATAAACTTCCTGATTTAATTCACTTGCTTGGTGATATAATCAAGTCGTCGTATACCGATGTGAGAAAGGCACTGTTGAAGCAAGGGCCATACACGTTGTAGCCTACGGACCATATGCCCAATTTTCGTTGTCCGTATACACTTGGATGCTGATGACGGAAGTCGAAATAAATAAATATTTTAAGGATTTTTTACAACGTGTTCAGTTGTCTTCCCCTGATAAATGTCCTCCTCGTCTTTGTTCATCAACTGATGGTAAATTGCAAACAATAACTCCATCACAAACAGCTGAATTGAAAAAGGGAGAAAAAAGGAAGAGAAAGTCTCGAATAATATAATTTTTCATTTTAATAAAGGAACAAAGTGATTGGGTACAAAATCAATAAAATTTGCAGGAACATTTGTTGTAGTCCACATTATGTGAAAAATATGGACCCCGTCTCAAAGAAACCTACCTACCCTGGATACGTATTGAATTAGCAGGAGATCGCATGTCTGTTGGGCCAATAGAAGGCTGAAAGAAGTTGTATGAAACTTTCAATGCGGCGCTAAGAGCCAATAAGCAATCTATCCCACAATGGCTACCAATTGTCGCTGCAATACAAAACAAACACTTTTATTGTGCAAATACATAGTTATCAGACATAGCCATTCCAGGCTAATAAAATCCGCATTCGATTTTTAGTTTTCTATGATGTCTACCGTGTTTCCCCGAAAATAAGACAGTGTCTGTTTTCAATTTTCTTTCGAAAAATATCACTAGAGCTTATTTTCGGGGAATGTCTTATAAAAATATTGAAACCGATATCCATTTACTTAATGACACGTTTTCCTCTCCCACACGTTTTAGATTAGGTAATCATTTATAACGTATGGGAGAGATTTCTTGCTATCGACCAGGTAAAAAAAATTCGCGTTATTGACTAGGTCTTATTGGGGAGGACTTATATATATTAAAATCAATCCTAAAATTCAGGCTAGGGTAGGTCTTATTTTCGGCGAAACACGGTATATTGTTAGCATATATTCCCGAACAAAAAGATTGTTTTTTTTCGCCATGAAATGCCTTTATTTATGTTTTTCCTTAATTTTTGTTGCATTACGTGTATGTTTCATTTTGGTGAAAAATAAACGACTGACTGACTGACTAGAAAGCCAGATAATGATTTAGACTGCCAAGCACAGCATTCAACTTCGCTAGTTGCCTCAGCTAGCCAAACTAGTCAATTCAGTGACATTATTAATGTAACAATATGTCAAAAGTTTTTTCTATTTAATTTTATTACGAAACAACACGAAATGCAATTTTTTGATTACTCTCCGAATGTGACGCGGGCCACAGATAATAAAGCGGCGGGCCACATGTGGCTCGCGTGCCTGGGTTTGAGTCACCTTGATATCTACCTTATAGGTAAGTTTTAAACAAAATATTAACTTCTACTATTCAATTTATTTTGACATTCTAGAATAGTTGATTTTAAAAATGTTCAAATTTTAAATCAAAATTATAACTTGAAAAATTGCATATGTAGTCTAGAATCTAGATACAAAGTAACAGTTGATTTGATGTTAATTTCAAAGTCTCTTTTCGTAACCCTACGTCATAATTGATTTTGTGGTGATGTTCGATATAAATCTATCAATTTTGATCCGATATTCCAGACATAGCTATTTTAGTTGGAACTAATCGGAATCGCAATTTTAGAACATAGCCATTTAGGACTTTGCCATTTTAGTAGGGACATAGCCATTTTAGTAGTGACATAGCGGACATAGCCATTTTAGTAGGGATATAGCGGACATAGCCATTTTAGTAGGGACATAGTCATTTTAGTAGGTACATAGCGGACATAGTCATTTTAGTAGGAAAATATCGGAGTCGCAATTTTAGAAGGGACATAGCCATTTTAGTAGGGACATAGCGGACATAGTCATTTTAGTAGGGACATACCGGACATAGTCATTTTAGTAGGGACATAGTGATTTTAGTAGGGTCATAGCGGACATAGTCATTTTAGTAGGGATATAGTGATTTTAGTGGGGACATAGCGGACATAGTCATTTTAGTAGGGACATAGCGGACATAGTCATTTTAGTAGGGACATAGTGATTTTAGTAGGGGCATAGCGGACATAGCCATTTTAGTAGGGATATAGCGGACATAGTCATTTTAGTAGGGACATAGTCATTTTAGTAGGGACATAGCGGACATAGCCATTTTAGTAGGGACATAGCGGACATAGTCATTTTAGTAGGAAAATATCGGAGTCGCAATTTTAGAAGGGACATAGCCATTTTAGTAGGGACATAGCAGACATAGTCATTTTAGTAGGGACATAGCGGACATAGTCATTTTAGTAGGAAAATATCGGAGTCGCAATTTTAGAAGGGACATAGCCATTTTAGTAGGGACATAGCAGACATAGTCATTTTAGTAGGGACATAGCGGACATAGTCATTTTAGTAGGGATATAGCGGACATAGCCATTTTAGTAGGGACATAGTGATTTTAGTAGGGACATAGCGGACATAGTCATTTTAGTAGGGACATAGCGGACATAGTCATTTTAGTAGGGATATAGTGATTTTAGTGGGGACATAGCGGACATAGTCATTTTAGTAGGGACATAGCGGACATAGTCATTTTAGTAGGGACATAGTGATTTTAGTAGGGACATAGCGGACATAGCCATTTTAGTAGGGATATAGCGGACATAGTCATTTTAGTAGGGACATAGCGGACATAGTCATTTTAGTAGGGACATAGCCATTTTAGTAGGGATATAGCGGACATGGCCATTTTAGTAGGGACATAGCCATTTTTGTAGGAACATAGCGGACATAGCCATTTTAGTAGGGACATAGCGGACATGGTCATTTTAGTAGGAAAATATCGGAGTCGCAATTTTAGATGGGACATAGCCATTTTAGTAGGGACATAACCATTTTAGTAGGGATATAGCGGACATAGCCATTTTAGTAGGGACATAGTCATTTTAGTAGGGACATAGCGGACATAGTCATTTTAGTAGGAAAATATTGGAGTCGCAATTTTAAATGGGACATAGCCATTTTAGTAGGGACATAGCGGACATAGCCATTTTAGTAGGGACATAGCGGACATATGGGACATAGCCATTTTATAACTACCCCTCTGGTACGGTAACCGGAGTCGCTCTTGAATGCATTTATTGATTGGCGATGTTGGATTTGACCCTGCAGAAAGCGCTATTGAGTGGGAATTGTACAGTTTTGTGT